CCACCCGCTGCCATAATGTGAAAATTAAAATGTTGAGACTTGTTCATATCCCGACCCCACCCCTATAGCCTCTCTTCTACATTATAAACGGCGATCTTGCCGTTAGAATGTTCATCAGGAATGGGCCGAAAAAGATTGGTGCACGAGATCTCGTTTTGTTTGTTCTATTCGGGGTTAAAAATTTTACGAGTGACCGTTTTATGGGTCAATGCTTTAAGGATCAGGCTTTTTAATCCGAAGAATGATCTTCAGACTAAATTATTTTTAAACTTCGGGAAAAAGACTATATCTTATGGTATATTAATCGGGTACAGGTCATGGTTGTAAATTAGATACAATAGTTAATGCTTTATCAAATGACGTTTAAATTGTTTTGATATCTTTCATCACCATCGAGAAAATCAACTTTAAATAAATTCAAAAAAATCCTTCCAATAAATTGCTCCATAGAAGTCTCTGAAAGAATGTTCACCCCAAAGGGGCAAAAAAAGTGTGGTTTGACTTCGACCATACAAAATATCATTCAAAATTTTTTTGTATTCAAAATTATTATTAGTTCTGCTTTGCTGCTTGCTTAACTCTCATTAAGATGATACAAATCAAGGGAACTATTGACACAAAATATCATGAAGGATTTATTTCGACATTAATCATTAGAAATTAAATTTATTCATTTATTCTTTATTAAAATCTCAAATTAAAATATTAAAGCATTCCCGTATCTTGTAAATTTTCTTGAACAATAGTATCCAATACAGAATTAAAAACAGATTCAAGTTGTGAGGTGTCTGTTGCACACGTCTCGTGAATATATAATTTTTGTTTGTTCCTGTAAAGTCTGAGAAACTTTTTCCGCAAATAGGCAACTCCGTCTTGATAGTTTAGTCCACCTTTTGAATAAATCAAAATTAGTATTAATGACTGATTTGGGGTTCTAAAACTATTCTAATTAGTCACAATTTGGAGCTTAATGAAAATTAGATGTATGGTAATTTATGTAGGTCACAAGGTATTTTAGCCATACTAAGAGGATGGCTTCCAAAAAATAGAATATTGGCGACTATACGAACTAAAAACTCGTAGTTTTTTTTTAACTTAATACAAATTTTATTGAATAATGAATATTAAGAAATTTAAACTAAAGTAAAATAAGCCGCATTTGTGAAAATTTGGAAACTGGTAGCTATAAGGTTTATTCAAGAATCACACACAGTATTTTAGCCAACCTACGAGTATGGCCTTCAAAAATATCAAAAGGTCCAAGAAAAGACACAAAAAATTGCGGATTTCTAGAGATAAAGCGTAAATTTAATTTACTAATGCATATTAAGTAAATTTTATGATTAATTAAAAACTAGCACCTTTATAAGAAGGGAAGATGATATTCAAAGAAATTTTTTTGATCTTCTCAGAGAAGATATCAATTTTATTGAGGAACAAAATCATTGAGCTTTTAGAGAAGAACATGCTATTTGTAATGCTTTCGAATAATTCTTGAAAAATCAGGAAAATATTTTTTAACATTATTGCCTACCTAGAGCCTCCATAAGTCGATTCTGAAAAGAGAATTTTAATTTTAAAATAGATTTTATTGGACTGATTTTTAAGCCGTTTTAATAAAATTATTCTGGAATAATCTCGGTTACCCCAAATTCTTAAAACATCCCTACCGTAGCATTGTCTTCCCGTATTTTTTGGTCATATTCACTGATTGCCACAACAAAAATGATAGCATTGACATCATCAAATATGTGAATCCATTTACGCCTTTCTGAGCGTTGACCTCCAACATCGAATATACTGAAAAATTTTAAAAGTTCAAATGGAGGGAACAGATAGGAAAAGATGTTTTAAGGATGGTTCAGCGGGATCGGGATCCTGGTCGGGATCGGGCGGGATTATCCTGGCTTTTTCGAATCGCGATCCCGATTATTCAGATCCTGAGACCGAAAGATAAATGATCTTTAAATCCCGATACAGCTGAACTCTGGTTTCAATGATAGTTCTATCCCATCTCCCATCCAATGAATTTTCCACAGCTCGAAATATTATTTGACCAAAGAATGGGGATAATGGGAAACAATTGGATATCCTTATCAGGGATATTCAATCGGTGATGGGGGAAACCCTAAAAATTTCTGCCCCATTTTTGAAGTCTCTATCATTTTTGCTATAGAGCTAACTGCTTTAATACATTATAGCCAATATTAAACTATGGCTTCCAAAAAATTCAAATCAACTAGCATAGGCGACCGTTCTACAAACAAATTTTGGAATTTTAAATTTACCAACTTTATGATAATCTCAATATTATGTAAATGCCTCGACTAATCAAAACCTTTTCTTTAACTTTAAATTTTTAAACTTGCTTAAAATCAATCCCATTAAGTGTAAAAAGCAATTTAACAACTCCCGTGGTCGGTACTCTTGTATGGAGAATGTCTTGATTTGTTGGCCTGTAGTCTTTCTCTGCTATCCTTTCAATGTTTTCAAAGTAGCTAAAATTTAAAAATTTTAATTTTCTTTAATTGGTTATCAGTTTTGTGCGAAATGAAAAAAGTTATGGCTAAAGATTTCTGCTGTCTGTTGCGCTCATGTATAAATTACTCAATATTTAGTTTAGCAGAATTAAGTCGATTTAAATTCCTTACTTATAACAAGTTGAAGAAGGAATGGGAACCTGTGCAGTAAGAGGGTATATTTTTGGATGTCAAATTAATTTTGACTAAAATTTGATATATACATAACACAATTAGACAGCCGATCTGGGCAATATTGGATATCATAACATCCTTACTGGATGTTCCAAATTTAAAACTGGACTGGTGGCGTCATACGATGAATCCATGACCGATAAATAGAAGAAATCGATTTTAATATACGAGATTTTTGTTCGAGATCTCGTTATGCTCTAATCTCTAATCCTATTTAAATCTATCTTTTATGACCCTCCTTGTCCTGTCAACGGCTCCATGACAATTGTACAGTGGGACAATTGTACAGTGAGACAATTGTACAGTGAGACAATTGTACAGAAGACAATTATACAGTATTAAGAGCTTTTTAAAAAATTTTAATGTTAACCCAAAATATCGAAAACATATGATCAACACTAAGTTTTTTAATGTTATTTCACAACACGGGAAGGTTATTCCAATGACGAAACAAACCTCAATTCGTCGAATTGATCAACGAAGTAGGTGATCAATCGTGGGAATGATCAACATAAAGTGATCAACCAAGAGTGATCAATCAGTTGAGTGATCTGAAAATCGGAAAAGGTTGAGAACTATCGATATCGAAAACCGAGTGATGATCAACCGGAAGAGTGATCAAAAGAGAGCGATAAACGACACAGATATCGATCACCTCAGGGATCAATCAAGATTCCCCTTGGAGATTAATTAAAGCATCACTCTCTCTCGGTTGATTAATTAAAAAATTTGATCAAAATAAACTTCCCCGTCATTGAACAACTTCCCAATGTTGTATAATAAAATTTAAAATCTTTAATATTGATCATATGGTTTTCGATACTTTGGGTCATATTTCTTGACGTTTAGCGCAACATTAAATTCCTTTTTAAAAAGCTATGAATACTGTACAATTGTCCACTGTACAGTTGTCTTCTGTACAATTGTCTCACTGTACAATTGTCCAACTGTACAATTGTCGTGCCACCCTGTCAACACGGCAGACAATTTCGTTCATTTATAATTTACTTAATATTTAGTTTAGCAGAAAAATGTCAATTTGAATTCCTTAGTTTTAATCGAAATTGGTTGAGTGTAGATGGAAGCATAAATATTTTTGGAGGTCAAATTAATTTTGACTAAAATTTGATATTGAGCTCGAGTACGCAGCTACATGGTTTTCGATATAGGATATTATAGATACAGTTACCCTTACTGGATGCTGCAAATTAAAGGCGTCATACGATGAATGCATGAAGTTAAATAAAAGAAAGCGATTTCATTATACGAGATTTTTGTTCAAAATCTCGTTGTATTCTAATCTCTAATCCTATTTAGATCTATCTCATATGCCCCTTTTTGTCTCTGTCTGTGGAGATAAAGTCCTAAAAAACCCAAATTTATTTTACTCACTATGAAGAACTGTCATGAATGTGGTAATCTGCACGTTTCTCGTAAGCTATTCTTATATTTGGATCTTGCCATAATTTTTGAATTGCCTCTTTTATTTGCGAATTGAAGGGAGCAAATTCGAGTCCATTCTCAATGTGTTTTCTGATACTGATGGCGTAATTCTGAAATTTTTAGATAACGTAAATAGAGCATATTAGCCATGTAAATCTCATGGCTCCCAAAAAACTAACAATAAGCCTTAAAATTTTTAATTTCTAATTTTTTCTGTTTATCTAATTATAAATAACATATTCGAGAAATAAATATTAAGTAAATTTTAGTAGTAAGATAGCCAACATTGCCTAACCCAAACAAGGTTCTAGAACCCCCTATTTCCAACAGGTACATCCTAAGTTTAGTCTCACTATTCAATCTCAATCCAAACATGAAAGTATTTAAAAAAAAGTTCGGTACTTTTCTGTTTTGTGACCGCACTTTAAAAATGTTTAAAAAGGGTCATGAATATGGACAAATTATATGTCATTCGAAAGAGCTCCTCGAGCTGAGTCGAATGACGCCAAAATCATTTTGGATTCGATTTGGTACGGGCTCGAAATGGTCAAAAAATACAAGGATCAAAATGGTCAAAAAATGAATATGACCAAAATGTATGTCATTTGAAAGAGCTCGCCGAGATGAGTCGAAAGATACCAAAATCACCGTGATTGAACAAGTTTGAACAAAGTTATGATCGTTTATTTTAGCTCCTTACCTATGCACAAGCGCCTCGCCGACGCTCCATAGGTTTACGTTGACCATCTTGAACCTTTTTATCTTGGCTCATAATCAAGATCTCGAGCTGATTTTGGTGTCATTCGACTCAGCTCGAGGAGTTCTTTCGAATGACATATAATTTGTCCATATTCATGACCCTTTTTAAACATTTTTAAAGTGCGGTCACAAAACAGAAAAGTACCAAAAGTTCCTATATGACCAACCATCATGTTTTTATCTTCAAATTCCAGACATAAATCAGATTTAGCCTCTAGCAGCTCCAACATGCTCCTGACTAAAATAAAATTATATTTTTGAGATTTGTCTAAGACGTCCTGATTCTTGGGTCATTTCTTGGAAATATTTTTTGTTCAAGGACAGCTGTATTCTTAATCCTACGATAGATGAAAATTCACCTGTGTTTGAGTAAATTATGCATTTGCGTTCTTCGACCTCAGCATGAGTAAACCCATTTAAGTGCAGAATTCTAAAAATTAGGAACTAAATATTAAAATCTTAGCTAGTGAAAATTTTAAATTAATTGTTAAATTTGCCATTTCAATTCAATGGCATTCAAAAAATATAGTCTGAATGATCCGGAGTACTCTTATGGTTATTTAAAGAATGACCTAAGCAATTGAAATTTTTAAATAATAATCATTAAGCAAATTATTTGCTAGAAAATTACTCTAACTTGGTTAAAGAATATTTAAATTAATCCTTTTTATTTGCCAATTCAATTGATTGGCATACAAAAAATTTTGTTAGATGATAAAAAGGGAGGGCAATTTTAAAATAAGTAGGCTTATGTAATTCAAATTTTCAAATAATCTGCATTAAATTAAGTTGAAACTTACTGCATCTGCTTCACACAAGTGCTCTTTCCACTCTCAGCTGGGCCTGAAAATAAAATTTTAAAAAATATTTCAATTTGTCTTCAGAGGATAAAAATACGCCAGATTTTGACAACTTATGCCCTAAAGTTATATGAAAAATATTTTTGTCAAACTACACGTTGACATCCAAAAAATAAACAACTATGTACAGAAACTCGCAAGCTAGAAGCAAATAATAATTTAAAAATATAGTTAAACCATAAGCTATTGTTAAAAATTAATATTAATTAAAAATTAAAACATGCGCAACATGCTTTTAACAATATAGTCCGAATGTTTATTGTTTTTATAAGGCAGGTTAAACTTTAAAAATCACAAAATAAAAGCATTAGCCATACTACATGTATGGCATTCAAAAATAATAAATGAAGCAATATCTGGCTTATCAGACTGTATTTTTTAAAAATAATAATAAAAGGTATATCATTTTAAATATTGAATATTAAGTAAAGTTTGATATAAACTTTATCTTTAGGAGGAAATAAAAATATTAAAATCTACCCAGTAAAAGCAGTTTTTGAACAAGTTCTTTCGGATCCACTTGTAATTGCTTGTCAATTCGATTAGAGACATTTCGAGCTTTTATAACTTCAGTAGATTGGCAGACGCCCATTTTATCAATTTTTAAATAAAATTCAATAAATATACACTAAAATTGGCTTAAATTTATTTCTAAAAATGTTGCCTTAATTAAGTCATAAAGCAGTAAAAAGAAAAAGATTGTAGCTAGCTTTCGTTAATTAAGCGTTTATGCTTATGCCTGACTTAACTTTACTCAGAATACTTTTAAGTAATAAAACGTAACGGCGGCAACCGTTTTGGGGTAATAAAGGCGCTAGTATAGCTTTGGCATGAATAAAAGGCTTAAGGTCACATACTCGTGTTAATTATAAATTCAAAGCAATTTTTTGATTTTATCTTTTATCAAGATGGATTGGATTGAAAATTTTTATTAGAAATTCCTTTTTTAATCAAAGCACGTCAAAATGCAAGTAAACGGGTCCAATATTATTTTAAAAAGCTATAGGAGATAATGACGGGTTGTGAGCATGAAAGGGTTGTGAGCAGGGCTGGGCGAAATCTAAAAATAGAAAGCGAAACTTTTCGCGCTGAAAAATGCAAGAATGCGAAAGGTGCGAAATTGCGAAATAAGCCCAGCCTTGGTTGTGAGGCTCGGTTATTTGAATAAATTTTTAAATTTAATTGATTTTTCATGTTAAAATCCCATTCGAAGAATTGTGAAAATAATTATATTTTTGTTGTATTCGCCTCCTTAAAAATCCCCAACTTTTAAACATGTCCATTTTAAAGGTAAGGAAGTAAATATTTTTAAGACAAAGAAATAATATTTTCCACACAAACATAAAAACGGAACTTAAAGTACAAAAAGAAAACGAGATTTAACACCCAATTCTGTGTAAAAAACAAGAATATCCCACAAGAAACAAACTAGAAAATTTGAAGCACGAAAAACTTCAATTATAAAGTTACTGAATAAAAAAGACATTGAAATTATTACCTTCATAGAAATACAAAAATGGTTAACAAAAAATAAATATAATTTCTAGTATAACGATTTTCTTATAATTATTTTAGAATGTAAAATAACATAAGGAGTAATTTGAGGTTAAGTTAAAGCTAACAATAAGATAAAAATAAAAAAATTAATATTAAGTAAAATAATAATATGACAGGTGAATTTAAAATAATTCAAAATTAATTATTCATAAGAGCAGATGATATACGTAAGTTAACAATATTAAATCTGAAATTAGGAAAATGTAAGCTGTCACAGAGCTATTATAAATACGGATAGAGTACATTGGATTGTTTTTAGGCATTTGCATTTTTAAGCAGTGAAAGCGATTAATAAAATCATGTTGTATCCATCAGCGATTCGATACCACAATTCGCACTCGGGTTGAATTCCCCAAGTCCCAAAAAAAATAAATTATTTATTTTATTTTCGACATGAAATCCTTAGAATACGGGCTCGCAATGATTGGTATTATATATTGGTATTATATCATTGGTATTATATACAGTATTTAATACTTAACTCACACCGGGATGAATCGGGAAAAGTAAAAATGCCTTGATCAGGGCAGGCCTTGAAACTGCAGTCTGCCGTTTTTAAAATAAAAATTTGCGGAAATTTGCTTATTTACGGACAGCCCTGGTTCTGATCACTTTCCGACCACTAACTGATGTCTGATGGAAAAATAATTAAGGAAACCATATATTTTCAAAATCTAGAAAATGCGGCATAATATTTTATTTTGCAACTTTTTAAAGAAAATAATGATAAAAATGAATAAAAAATAAAATTTTAATTTTTTGTAGCACTCTGTTGTTGTTGTGAATTGGCCGTATTTGTAATTAATCTTGCAGTCAGGTCTTTCTGAAAAATAAATTTTATACCAAAGAAAAGACAGTCCTCACTAATAGATTCTTCCCTTGGGCTGTCCTGTCTTATAATGAGGGGTTTTGCATGATCAGGTGTAGTATTCTCTAGATATCCCGCCGATATCATGACCGATATCGGGAGATTTGAGTGGATTTCAAGTGATTTGTATGTGGAATTCAGGAGAAACAAAGGATTTGGAAGGAAAATTTTGAAATGATAGACTAGAGATCGGACTAAAAGAATCGTTTCTAGAGAGTTCACGAAGGGTACTTGGATTGAGGACTGAAAGAGTCATTGGAGAGGATACTAAGAAGGTTGTTGGGTAGAGGATCGAAGGGTGATTGTGCTGGAACTTCGAGGGTCAATGAAGATACATATCTCCAAAAATCTTATTCTAGATAATTGAAATATTTGTTCCAGATCTCGTCTCAGTCCGTTCTCTAGTGAGAGCTGACTATAATAAAAAATATATTCACCAAGGCATCCAATTCTCGTTGAGTAACCAGTGAAAATTCAGTAACAAAATAATAATAATGTTTGTAAAGCATGTTGGCGTGTGGCTCCTGAGTTAAAAAATGAAAATTTTCTAGAGAATTATCCTTTTTTGCCTTTATTGCTATGGTCTTTCAGCTTCCCCAAGGAACCTAGTATTCGTAAGAGTGTAAGAATCATTTGGCAGCATTTAAAATACGATTAGGGGGATATATATCCCCAATTTAAAGTACAACATTCACTAGTGATAAATGGGGGTTAAGAGGAATCTCGATGGATTAATCCTCAGATATCCCGTGATATTCATAAAAATCACTTCAATAGTGAAAGTTATCAATTAATCATTCCGAGACAATTAATTAACATGGTTCAAAAATATTTTTAAAAATATTCACCGCTCCAATCTGAACAAGCTTTTCAAAGTGATGAATATAAATATGAACAAATATCCGGAATAGTCGCGACAATATTTTCTTGCAAGTTTGTCGAAAATCGTTGGGAAAGGGAACATCTAGAAATGAAAAAATTGAATAGAGTAACTGTTTAATCAGCTTGAGGAAGCCTAGGAAATTGGATCAGATTAATCTTGGATGAACTAGAAGCCAAACTAAGTAAAACTAGCCTGATAAACTAACTCGGCTTCCAAAAATAAAAGAACAACGCTGTGTATGCAAAACTTGCATCAATTAACTTATAGATATATTAGTAAATGATTTTGTATTAATTAATACATATCAAATTTTATAAAGTCGTACGTGACGATTCCCGAAAATCGAGAATTCCCAAAGTTTTTCCGGGTCGAGACACTAAGTTCCCTAAATCGGGAATCTCATTAAAATGTCGGCTAGAATTGATATATACCCTCAGTTCAAGGTCCAACTCTCAGTATTAGGCAAGACATTTATGCCCCAAGGGATCAAATACCAAAGCCAACATTATTAAAATAACTAAAATTCACCAGTAGTAGAAGGGAAAATTTTCTCGTTGTTTATACGCTCTTCAATCCAATCCATTAATTTGTGCATGTAATCCTTAAAAATTACAAAATTTTTAAAAATTCAAGTCCAATTACTTTAGCAGGCAGCCTTGTCGGTTTTTTGTATTCAACTCCATCCTGCCACAAATACTCGTATTTTGCTCCTCCACACATTGTTGGGCACGATTCTACTGTACAACTATCAGCCAATATTCCATAGAGTAGATTTATTCGATTGAAAAAGTCGACAGCTGAAAATATTTTGATTAAATTTATCAGAGAGTGAAGGTGAGTTGGTTGCGGCTACGGCACTTTTAAATCGTGGTTACAGCTCTGGATTGAGCAGTCAAAATCTTAGCTAATGTAACCTTCTCCGGGCCATAACAAGTACTGAAGATGTTCCATAAATACATTTAATGAGACTCGGAATGCTATTATTTGCTCTGGCCCGGGTGGTTCATTTATTTATCACTCGAACCGGATCAAGAGCCATTTTGAAATGGTAGAAGCCATGATTTGAAAAGGGAAGGAAAAGGGCACAGACTTTCAATAACCAACAATGCTTAATATTCAATTAAATTGACTTCCAAAAAATATTATACCCCCAAACGACCATCGCTACACACTCCCTGCTTGTATTCTTGTTAAATATTTCAATAAATATTAAAGAGAATATTTTGCAAAACTAACGGAAAATCTTATAAAAAAATCACCCACTATTTACAGCTAGCCAATCATCCAAAGATTCATTTGGTGGAAGACGCACAACTTGCTTCAAATCAACTCCAGAATTGAGTGTTGCTTGGGCTTGTTTGTGCAAATTGTGACGAAGAGTGCCGTGAGGAAAGCGCTTTTTGGGACGAAATGTCTGAAAAATAAAAGAATAATTTGTATTCGGTAGAGATTTCGTAAAGATCTTGGGATAACGATAACATGCTAGAAGCACTAGGCGTACTCCCGGACCATACCAGACACTAGAGCGCGGAATTTCGTTCCGTACCGTACTACCGATACGGAATACCGATAAATACCGAAAAATACGGCCGTAGTACGGTACGGTCCGCGCTCTACCAGACACAACAAAAATTAAAAAGGGAACAATAAAGTTCAAGCTTACCAAGCCGTTCCGACATAATTTAGCAAAGATTAAATTTGACTCCCAAAAAATAATCAACTCTTCAACCGAGAACCAATTTTACACAATTTTAAAATTGAATTTTTTAAGGAATAATATTAAATAATATGGTACGGTGTAAATTAACGCCCAAAAAATTAATGAAATAGGTAGAATCGACAAAATTTATTGATTAAGTTTAAAAATTAAAAAAACTCACTTTCTGCTTGTTCATATGTAGAAAGTCGAAGAAACTAGTTGCCATGTCCTTTGCGAGCATATTTAAATTAAATTTGAAAATTGAGTGTAGTCAAAAATAAGGATGCTTGCAGTTAAACAATTGATTGGTCTTGTAGTTAAAACAACTTCTAAATGAATAACGCGCAAAAGAAGTAGAGAACTGTTGAAAAATCTAAACCTAAACAGGATTTTATTCAGAAAATTTTAGGCTGTTACGAAATTTAGCCAATATATCTGGCTTACAAAAAAATGAAGCTGAAGGAAGAGCATCGGAACAAAACAAAATTCTCATATATTTATAATTTAGAAATTTAATTATTAAATATTAAGCTCTTTGCTATACCAAAATTCGGAGAGAATTTTCATAAAATAGAGAATTTTCGAGAACGCTTTCTCTACTAATTAAATCGTGAAAAGTGTGTGTCAAAGACCTAAAATAATTTCAACAAAATTTTCTAGGTTTTAAGACATGTTAGAGAAAAAAATTGTTGAGTAAAATTTCTCCAATTCAAAAATAATTTTCGAACAAAAAAGGAATAAAATGACAAAATAAAATTGCTTTCCCCTCTCTCTATAAAATAAAAGTAAATCAATATTTTATTTAACCACACAGAGTGAGCACATGGATTTTATATATTTAGAAGAGTATGAATAATGACTAGATAGAGTGTGAGCTTTTATTTATAAGAGCGCCTACTACTATTTTTACACTAAAGCAAGTTCGTTTTTCTAAAAAGGGTGAATATGCACGCTGAGAAAAAGGTTCTTTTTTTTTTCTTTGCTGGAGAAGTTTTAATTAGTTGTTTTTTAATAAATTTTAAATCGTTAATTGTTCATAATTTCGATTTTTGGCTTTCTGAAGGTATTTTAATAGGGTATAGTTCGTCTTGGTATATTAGATACTATATTTAATGGAGATTCGAATGATATATCGTAACCCCATTCGCGATAATTACTTCATCGGGCAAATCCACTTTGAAAATATCAGTAAAAAAATAACTCAAAATTATTAATCCATAAATAACTTACGGTATATTAATAGGGTATAGTTCGTCTTGGTATATTAGATACTATATTTAATGGAGATTCGAATGATATATCGTAACCCCATTCGCGATAATTACTTCATCGGGCAAATCCACTTTGAAAATATCAGTAAAAAAATAACTCAAAATTATTAATCCATAAATAACTTACGGTATTTTAATAGGGTATAGTTCGTCTTGGTATATTAGATACTATATTTAATGGAGATTCGAATGATATATCGTAACCCCATTCGCGATAATTACTTCATCGGGCAAATCCACTTTGAAAATATCAGTAAAAAAATAACTCAAAATTATTAATCCATAAATAACTTACGGTATTTTAATAGGGTATAGTTCGTATTGGTATATTAGATACTATTTTTCCGTATTGGCTAGTTTCGGATAAATTACTTTAATTTCCTTAACTTAATTTTAATTCCAATCTAACACAATAAAATCAATTATTTTCCGTATTGGCTAGTTTCGGATAAATTACTTTAATTTCCTTAACTTAATTTTAATTCCAATCTAACACAATAAAATCTTTTATTTCTTTTAATAAGCGGACAATTTATTTATTAGCGATTAGCTGGGAACGGAGAAGCGAACTAAAGAATAAGTTGAGAGAACAATAAAAAGAACCGATTTGTATTAGGAGGAAAGCGATATTTATAGTGAAGTGATTAGTAATTGTTTGTGTAAATTATAGCGAAGGAAAGTAGCTTTTCCCAGATGAATAGGCTGGGAACGATTAAGCAGATAAATAAAATTATAAATAAATTACAAAAGCTTGAGAAAGTATGTTTCGCATTTCGAAAATGCGACACTCCGGCCAAAACATTGAAGCGGAGCGTATGTAAAAGTACTAATAAGATTAGCAGGCAGAGCGTAGAGAAATCGCGGAAGTTGAGGAGCTATTGGAAACAGAGGGGGAGGCGGTGGGCAAAAATAAATAGACGAATAATATAGCGGATTATAATCGAATTTAATGTCTTTCAACGGCATTGGCTTTATCACGTTTCTGTTTTCTTTATTCATTTTGTTTGGGTTCTTCGTGATCCACATTCTGCGGCAATTTCTTGAGCGGTGTGTTGGAATTGTTTCAGTCTGTTTTTCTGAGGGTCCGTCGGCATTCAATTGGGGGACCGAAGGGGGTGGTGCGTCCCTTAGTGGAATTTCTTTTGAATGTTGTTGATTAGCAGTAGCAGCGGGGGTTGAAGCGAGTTGACCCGGGTAGTCAATTTTTGTTGCAGGGGGAGAATGGCCTGATGATTTGACTGATGGCACATTACCTCGGGGGTTCAAAGATTCATTTTGTATTGTCCAACTTGGCACATCATCTTTGGGAACTGAAATTTCTGGTTTTAACCTTTTAATTTTCTTGGCCTTCTTTTGCGCTTGTCTGGAATTAATTTTATTATTTCTTAATTTTATCTCTACGGGAATCGTTAATTCATGTGAATTTGTACTAGGATTGGGAGAGGGTAATTGGTTTTGACTTTTATCTGTCTGTTTACAAACTTTAATTGAGTTATAGATTACTTTTGACATGTCTGGTATTGGGAGGGACTTTATTTCAGGGTTAATTTCATTTAAAGGAAGTAATTCGATTTTAGTTTCTGGCAAATTATTGTGGTAAGTGGGAATCTTGAAATCTTCTGGAAATTTTATCAGGGATAACGGGATTGGGATTGTAGGTGTAGGAGGATCTGGAATCATCTGTGAACAGAAATTACTTATATGCTGCTGGGGAATTTCTTGTTGTTGAGATTTATTATTTTCTTCATTAGAATAATCTATATGGTGTTGATTGATCTGGGGACAAAATAAATTAGGGCAGAGTGCTATGGGGTGTGGGCTATGACACTGTGTACAAATAAGTGGGTTTTGACAAATTCTCGCAATATGGTTGGGATTATAACATTTAAAACATAGCCTTCTCTCATATAACCGGCATTTACGAGTATGGATCGTGTTATAGTTCGGGCAGTGGTGGGACACATGATCGGGCTGGTTACAGAAAATACAGGGGAATTCCACCGTCCCTGGTCGATTATTTGGCTGGGATATGGAGAACGTTAAGGAGGTCTGTGGTGTGCGAGGGGGGCTAATCGGTCTGATCTGTCTGAATGGTTTAGGAGTATTAGAGGGACTTATCTGTTTGTTGAGCTCCTTCTGTTGGTCGTTGAGTGCCTTGATTCCTTCTTTTCTTTTCAGGATTAATTTGAGGGTGGTGCGTAGTTGGTCGGTGTTCCATTCCTCTCGTTTCTTTTCTTTTGCTTCAAATACTTCTTCCAGAATTTGCGGGGGTAGTTTAGATTCCAATTCCATTTGTACAGGGAGAGTATTGACGTCGAATTGTTGTTCCAGCATTTGTAAGTAAATTGCTTCAAATTGGTCGACAAAAGAGCGCAATTCGGCGCACAAATTTTCAGGACCGTTCTTTGAATGAACGACGGGTAATTTTCGGATGGAATGGTGGAGGGTACGATTAATTTCATTTACATTTCCATAATTTTCTTTAATCAAACGGATCGCTTCGTGGTAGGAAGCTTCGGTAAGGGGAAGCGATTTTATGAGTAAGAGAGGGGGTCCTTCAAGGCATTCTTTCAAATAATTAAATTTTATGGAGTCCGAAATATTTGTAAGCTCGTGGACTCCTACACGGAAAGCATTCCAAAAGGAGGTAAATTCTACGCATTTACCGCTGAATTTGGGAAGGGACAGTTTTGGGAGGTGGAATAAAGTATCCGTGGTTTGGGATGGATCGGGTAATGCTTCTGCTAATTTTGATTTAGCTACACGAAGCCTTCGGGAATAATTTCTTAATTCATTAAGACTCGAAATATAGGGAATTTCGAGAACAAAGGCATCATAGAGGGGATTATCGGCTAAACGTTCCGCTCCTGTCATGGAGGAACGAACAGTCATCCATCGGTCATGAGCGGAACTAATGTCTTTTTGGATTTCGGAAACAGTGTCTAATTCTAAATCAAGGGAGGAAATTTTGGATCGAATATTTGAATAGTGAAGGGAGATACTGCCTATTTGTTGGGGAACTTCAAAATCTTTTCTATTATTTAAAATTTCTGTGGCGTCCACAAAAAGCAACCGCAATTCATCGCGGTATGGGGCTGACATAATTTTGGCTCTTCACCGGCTGAGCTTTTCCGTATTGGCTAGTTTCGGATAAATTACTTTAATTTCCTTAACTTAATTTTAATTCCAATCTAACACAATAAAATCTTTTATTTCTTTTAATAAGCGAACAATTTATTTATTAGCGATTAGCTGGGAACGGAGAAGCGAACTAAAGAATAAGTTGAGAGAACAATAAAAAGAACCGATTTGTATTAGGAGGAAAGCGATATTTATAGTGAAGTGATTAGTAATTGTTTGTGTAAATTATAGCGAAGGAAAGTAGCTTTTCCCAGATGAATAGGCTGGGAACGATTAAGCAGATAAATAAAATTATAAATAAATTACAAAAGCTTGAGAAAGTATGTTTCGCATTTCGAAAATGCGACACTATATTTAATGGAGATTCGAATGATATATCGTAACCCCATTCGCGATAATTACTTCATCGGGCAAATCCACTTTGAAAATATCAGTAAAAAAATAACACAAAATTATTAATCCATAAATAACTTACGGTATTTTAATAGGGTATAGTTCGTCTTGGTATATTAGATACTATATTTAATGGAGATTCGAATGATATATCGTAACCCCATTCGCGATAATTACTTCATCGGGCAAATCCACTTTGAAAATATCAGTAAAAAAATAACACAAAATTATTAATCCATAAATAACTTACGGTATATTAATAGGGTATAGTTCGTTTTGGTATATTAGATACTATATTTAATGGAGATTCGAATGATATATCGTAACCCCATTCGCGATAATTACTTCATCGGGCAAATCCACTTTGAAAATATCAGTAAAAAAATAACACAAAATTATTAATCCATAAATAACTTACGGTATTTTAATAGGGTATAGTTCGTCTTGGTATATTAGATACTATATTTAATGGAGATTCGAATGATATATCGTAACCCCATTCGCGATAATTACTTCATCGGGCAAATCCACTTTGAAAATATCAGTAAAAAAATAACACAAAATTATTAATCCATAAATAACTTACGGTATTTTAATAGGGTATAGTTCGTCTTGGTATATTAGATACTATATTTAATGGAGATTCGAATGATATATCGTAACCCCATTCGCGATAATTACTTCATTGGCCAAATCAACTTTGAAAATATCAGTAAAAAAATAACTCAAAATTATTAATCCATAAATAACTTACGGTATTTTAATAGGGTATAGTTCGTCTTGGTATATTAGATACTATATTTAATGGAGATTCGAATGATATATCGTAACCCCATTCGCGATAATTACTTCATTGGGCAAATCCACTTTGAAAATATCAGTAAAAAAATAACTCAAAATTATTAATCCATAAATAACTTACGGTATTTTAATAGGGTATAGTTCGTCTTGGTATATTAGATACTATATTTAATGGAGATTCGAATGATATATCGTAACCCCATTCGCGATAATTACTTCATTGGGCAAATCCACTTTGAAAATATCAGTAAAAAAATAACTCAAAATTATTAATCCATAAATAACTTACGGTATTTTAATAGGGTATAGTTCGTCTTGGTATATTAGATACTATATTTAATGGAGATTCGAATGATATATCGTAACCCCATTCGCGATAATTACTTCATTGGGCAAATCAACTTTGAAAATATCAGTAAAAAATAACTCAAAATTATTAATCCATAAATAACTTACGGTATTTTAATAGGGTATAGTTCGTCTTGGTATATTAGATACTATATTTAATGGAGATTCGAATGATATATCGTAACCCCATTCGCGATACTTACTTCATTGGGCAAATCAACTTTGAAAATATCAGTAAAAAAATAACTCAAAATTATTAATCCATAAATAACTTACGGTATTTTAATAGGGTATAGTTCGTCTTGGTATATTAGATACTATATTTAATGGAGATTCGAATGTATATCGTAACCCCATTCGCGATAATTACTTCATTGGGCAAATCCACTTTGAAAATATCAGTAAAAAAATAACTCAAAATTATTAATCCATAAATAACTTACGGTATTTTAATAGGGTATAGTTCGTCTTGGTATATTAGATACTATATTTAATGGAGATTCGAATGATATATCGTAACCCCATTCGCGATAATTACTTCATTGGGCAAATCAACTTTGAAAATATCAGTAAAAAATAACTCAAAATTATTAATCCATAAATAACTTACGGTATTTTAATAGGGTATAGTTCGTCTTGGTATATTAGATACTATATTTAATGGAGATTCGAATGATATATCGTAACCCCATTCGCGATACTTACTTCATTGGGCAAATCAACTTTGAAAATATCAGTAAAAAAATAACTCAAAATTATTAATCCATAAATAACTTACGGTATTTTAATAGGGTATAGTTCGTCTTGGTATATTAGATACTATATTTAATGGAGATTCGAATGTATATCGTAACCCCATTCGCGATAATTACTTCATTGGGCAAATCCACTTTGAAAATATCAGTAAAAAAATAACTCAAAATTATTAATCCATAAATAACTTACGGTATTTTAATAGGGTATAGTTCGTCTTGGTATATTAGATACTATATTTAATGGAGATTCGAATGATATATCGTAACCCCATTCGCGATAATTACTTCATTGGGCAAATCCACTTTGAAAATATCAGTAAAAAAATAACTCAAAATTATTAATCCATAAATAACTTACGGTATTTTAATAGGGTATAGTTCGTCTTGGTATATTAGATACTATATTTAATGGAGATTCGAATGATATATCGTAACCCCATTCGCGATAATTATTTCATCGGGCAAATCCACTTTGAAAATATCAGTAAAAAAATAACACAAAATTATTAATCCATAAATAACTTACGGTATTTTAATAGGGTATAGTTCGTCTTGGTATATTAGATACTATATTTAATGGAGATTCGAATGATATATCGTAACCCCATTCGCGATAATTACTTCATTGGCCAAATCAACTTTGAAAATATCAGTAAAAAAATAACTCAAAATTATTAATCCATAAATAACTTACGGTATTTTAATAGGGTATAGTTCGTCTTGGTATATTAGATACTATATTTAATGGAGATTCGAATGATATATCGTAACCCCATTCACGATAATTATTTCATTGGGCAAATCAACTTTGAAAATATCAGTAAAAAATAACTCAAAATTATTAATCCATAAATAACTTACGGTATTTTAATAGGGTATAGTTCGTCTTGGTATATTAGATACTATATTTAATGGAGATTCGAATGATATATCGTAACCCCATTCGCGATACTTACTTCATTGGGCAAATCCACTTTGAAAATATCAGTAAAAAAATAACTCAAAATTATTAATCCATAAATAACTTACGGTATTTTAATAGGGTATAGTTCTTCTTGGTATATTAGATACTATATTTAATGGAGATTCGAATGATATATCGTAACCCCATTCGCGATAATTACTTCATTGGGCAAATCAACTTTGAAAATATCAGTAAAAAAATAACTCAAAATTATTAATCCATAAATAACTTACGGTATTTTAATAGGGTATAGTTCGTCTTGGTATATTAGATACTATATTTAATGGAGATTCGAATGATATATCGTAACCCCATTCGCGATAATTACTTCATCGGGCAAATCCACTTTGAAAATATCAGTAAAAAATAACACAAAATTATTAATACATAAATAACTTACGGTATTTTAATAGGGTATAGTTCGTCTTGGTATATTAGATACTATATTTAATGGAGATTCGAATGATATATCGTAACCCCATTCGCGATAATTACTTCATTGGGCAAATCCACTTTGAAAATATCAGTAAAAAATAACACAAAATTATTAATCCATAAATAACTTACGGTATTTTAATAGGGTATAGTTCGTCTTGGTATATTAGATACTATATTTAATGGAGATTTGAATGATATATCGTAACCCCATTCGCGATAATTACTTCATCGGGCAAATCCACTTTGAAAATATCAGTAAAAAAATAACACAAAATTATTAATCCATAAATAACTTACGGTATTTTAATAGGGTATAGTTCTTCTTGGTATATTAGATACTATATTTAATGGAGATTCGAATGATATATCGTAACCCCATTCCGATAATTACTTCATCGGGCAAATCCACTTTGAAAATATCAGTAAAAAATAACACAAAATTATTAATCCATAAATAACTTACGGTATTTTAATAGGGTATAGTTCGTCTTGGTATATTAGATACT